ATTCTCTTAGCTCTCCCCTGGGTTTCCAATCACTGTCAGTGGCAGGGGGCTTCTTCCTGCTTTCCCTTTCGCCTCCCTGCATTGTGCCTACATATGCAAATTAATCGCCATCTTGTTGGCAGTTAACTGCCAATCTTAGTTGGCAGTTAATTTGCATATAGCCCTGATTAGCCAATAAAAAGGGTAGCGTCGTACACCAATTACCATTTTTCTCTTTTATTAGTGTAGATATTTATGCTTAGGGAAAAATAAAGAGTTAACTTTGCTTAAGTCTATTACAAGGAAAGAAACATAGATCTGGCAAAGTGCTTGGGGCACACTCACTGCTCAGAATGGAGCACCTGCTCCTACCTGAGGGAGTCAAGGAAGGCCTCCATGAGGAATGGGCTGCGGAAAAGGAGAGGGAAGAGGGGAAGCTGGAGCATATAGATGAAGGGAGGGAGCTGAGGGCACTAAGGCCAGAGGAGGGCCAGAGCCAATGGCAGAGGGCTTTGTGTGCCAAGTTAAGGGGCCTGAATCTTTTCACTACAGTGATGGTTACCCAAAAAGGGCTCTGTTAATAATGATGATGATAATGATATAGTGCTTACTACACGCCAGGCACTACTCTAAGAGCTTTACCAGTTTTGACTTATTTAACATCGACACTGAGGAAATGGCATGGTGGATTGCTTAGAGCAGTTGGGTGGCTACGTGGATGATGGTGGCTAGAACAATACTAGAAAAACATCTTGTGGTTCCAGATAAATTGGAGGATGGACAGGATGTGATGGCTTTGCAGAATAGGAATAAAGTCATCAAGGCTTGATTAATTATTGGTTGCATGGTGGAATTGGTGAGTAAAGGAGAAACTGGGATGACTGTCACTTTTTTGGATTTGGGAACTGAGTGTATTATTGCGCTTACCCAGGTAAAGGGTTGGTTACTCTGTTCCATTTCTTAGAGGACTTGCTAAGTCCTCTAGTACCTCCTACTTCCTCCTGGTTATATAAAAACTAGAAGCTCGATGCACAAAATTCGTGCAAGAGTAGGCCTTCCTTTCCCCAGCTGCCAGCACCAGCTTCCCTCTGGCACCTGGGACCCAGGCTTCCCTTGCAGCCCTTGCTTCATCTGGAAGGTTGTCAGGAAGGATGTCCAGTCTAACTAGCATATTCTATAATATTATTACAGAATTATAGATTAGTTGTTCAATTTCCAAATATTTAGGGGCTTCTCTGAAATATTCTGTTATTGTTTTCTAGTCAGATTCTGTCATGCGCTTTATGTGACTTCAATTCTTTAAGATTTGTGAAGATTTTTGTGGAATTTTGTTGTTTTGACCCACAATATCTTGGCAAATGTTTCTTTTGCACTTATGTGTCTTCTGTTGTTGGGTGTGGTTTCTATTAATGTCATCAGGTCAAGTTGTTCTATAGGGCTGTTCAAGTCTTTTAAAAATTTTCTAATTTTCCTGACAATTTTCCAGCTACTTCAGTTGTGTATTTGTCTATTTCTCCTTTCAGTTCCATATCATCCTGATTAATGGATAGTTCTGCACAGAGGAGAGGGTGCTATGGCACAGAGGTTAGAACGTTTGCGTGCAACAGAAACATCTTATATCTTTAAATCTACTCTAGATCACAAAAGAAACATTTTATCTTTTTAAATTTTCTTTAGCTTGCAGAGAAAAATGGAAATCCCTACGTATCCCAGCAGGCCTAGCGGAACTCAGGACAAATGCTAATAAAGGAGTGCAGGCACTTGACCACGCCCCCTTCCTGGGTTGGCAAGGCAACTGATACCAAGCCAGCCAATCAGTGAGATGCTCACCTGCGAGGGCGGAGAATCGATGAGAGCCAATGGGACGCGGGGCAGGTAGTTCTATGGGCCAATGGCTTGTGAGGTGGGGCGGGCTTTTGGTGAAGGGACAGTGGTGAGAAAGATGGCGGCGACTCTGGGTCCCTCTGGGTGGTGGTGGCGGCGGTGGCGGTGGCGGCGGCGTCTGTCTGCTTGGGATGGGTCCAGGATGTTGCTCCTTCTCCTTTTGTTGGGGTCTGGGCAGGGCCCCCGAAAAGTCGGGGCGGGTCAGACGTTCGAGTACTTGAAGCGGGAACACTCGCTGTCGAAGCCCTACCAGGGTGAGGCGCCCGGGGCGAGGTGATCGTGCATGGGGCGGGCTTCGCGACCTGAGATCCTCGGTGGCAGGGTCCGCCTCCCTCCCTCTCCGGGCGCCGCACCAGCGCCGGAGGTTCCCAGCAGGTCGTCGCTGGGCCCTCGGATGCCGCCGGGGCTGGGCCTGAACGCGGGGGAGCTCGGCGGACCGGAGGAGCGTGGGAAGGAGGGAGAACTGCGAAGGGGGCGAGTGATGGAGGGCCACTAGCAACGAGCCAGCCTCCGGCTGGAGTTACAGAGGGGCCAGAAATAAAGCAGGAGGCGGGGCTGGGGCAGCGCTTGGCCCGACGGAGAAAGAAGACAAAATCCCGTTGCGCGTTAAAACACCTGTTCTTCTCCAGCTCGGGAGTCCTGTTGGTGAGGGGGCTGGCGGGCGGCTCTGCTCTCTTGGGGGTCATAGACTTCTAGGCACAGCCTGTCAACTAGCACATGTATGGAGGCGTCACCGGGGACCAAAGCAGTGCAGCTGGCTTAACCCACACAAGCTGGAGTGTAGGCCGGGGGACAGCAAACAGGCAAACAGACTCCAGTGGAAGAGCCCATCCCTACGGCCCCGGGTGATTGTGGGTTCACTTCGCAGGTGCACTGGCTGTCGCCATGGTGTGGGTCCCTGCTCATGCTGTGGGTTGTAGTAGACACAGCTCTCGCTTTCAGTTACAGTCTGACGCATTAAAGTCATGCTGGGATTGTTTAAAGAATGTGATTCAGCCCCAAAAGCCTGAGGATCAAGCTCTTTTTGGTTTAACTGGGGATTTTTTTTTTCTTTCGTGGAGCTACAATTTACTCAAATGTAAAAAGGGAAGAATAGATCTGAGCTATGGTTACTCTGGCAGAGGTAAAGGGTTGGATAAAGTGATAGCGCTGATGTGCTGTGGGGTCTTCGCCTAAGAAGGGCTTTATGAAAAGAAGCTGCAAAGATGGTAAGGATTTAAGATTGATGGTGATAGGTGGGAAATTGACATGAAAGGGGAAAGGAGATGACTGCAGCTTTTGGAGGGCCTTCTGGTGGCTTTCGGAATGGGTTGGTGTCGGAAGAGTACGAACAGATCTACTTCCTCCCTGTAGGTGTGGGCACTAGCAGTTCTGCATTGTGGAATCTGATGGGCAACGCCATGGTGATGACGCAATATATCCGCCTTACTCCAGATATGCAAAGTAAACAGGGTGCCCTCTGGAACCGGGTGGTAAGAATCTTCCCCTGTTGGTGACCCCAAAAAGTTCGCCAGAGGCATATTGGCTTAGCTTTACTGTCTATTCTCAGTAATTTGTCTTCTGTGGTTATTAAAGGTTTTCATTTCAGAGGTTATGCCCTTCATAATGAAATCAGATATTTAGAGAAATGCTCTCTAGTGCCCTAATTATAGCAAACAATTCATTTTTATTCTGTTTTCTGGAATGTATTTAATTCAGACTTGGTAGTATTGGTAGTATTCATCCTAGTTTCTCCCCCTCCCATGTTAGTTCACTTTAAGGAGGCTAATTTTAAGTTTTATTGTCATGTGAAAGGCACGTTGAGCCCTTGGTCATTTTTTCTGTCCTTCTCTGGACCTTTTCTACCTACATTGTCTTCCTTGAGGTGTGGCGGCAAGAAGTGAATGCAGTATTCCTGGTGTGGCTGCACTCTGATTTTGTCCAAGTGTAAGATGATGCTTTCTTTTTGGTTTCCAGGGCTTTTTCAAAACCTTTTATGACCGCTTTACTTTTGGGAATGGCCTTGGCATCCTTGAATACTTTTGGGTTCACTTAAGCTAAGACCTCGCTTTTTCATGTTTTTTTCAATCATTAGTTTTAGATAAGTGAACCCCAGTAAAGAGCACTATTTCTTCTCCCTGCTCATTTTATGTGCAGAGAATTCTAAAGGAGGAGAGGAAGAAGAGAAATTTCTCCATGAGCCATTTGCACAAGGTGGCCCCTTACTCCAGGTTGTAGCGCTGAGCGTGTTCCTGGACAGCATATGGTAATGTGTTCTGTTAGAAGAGGTGAAGGGCTGCCAGTTGAAAGACTTGGATTCCAGATGTAGCTGTATCACACACCCACTGTGAGCCCTAGCGGTTAGTTAACTTCAGTTAACTTCTCCGTTTTTAGTTTTTCCATCTATCAGATACACTTCATAATACCTATTCTACACGCCCACCAGAATTGTTGTGAGGATACACATGAAAAAGCTTTGGAAAGTTAAAGTAGTTACAGAAATGTACATTGTTATACCTTACATCTGTTATAAGGTGCATTGATGGAGGTCTCTGGGTTACTAAATTATTCTAACCAGGGTTTGAAACTTTGCTGCTGTCTTCCTAGCTGTCTCTACATAACTCTTAGAAGCAATTCTAGTCTCTGGTTTTCCTGCCCTTTTTCAGATTCTCTGCTACCTGTTTTTTAAAGAAGTATTTTTATTGATTTCAGAGAAGAAGAGAAAGGGAGGGAGGGAGGGAGGGAGGGAGAGAGAGAGAGAGAGAGAGAGAGAGAGAAACATCAGTGATGAGAATCATTAATTGGCTGCTTCCTTCATGCCCCCTACTGGGGATCAAGCCCGCAAGCTGGGCATGTGCCCTGATGGAATCTTGGTTCATAGGTCTACACTCAACCTCTGAGCCACATGGGCCCGGCTACCTGTATTTTTTTTATAACCGGCTATCAGAAAGAGCCTTGGAGTTGTTTCTGAGTTACGTATTTGGATAGGAAGCATTGGTTTGAGCAGTGGGTTCTCAAGTTTGGCTGTCCATTGGAGCCAGTGCCTGGATTCCACCCCCAGAGATTCTGGTTTAATTGGAATTGGGTATGCTTGGGCGTTGGGATTTTTCCTTAAAGCCCTCTAGGTGAATCTAATGTGCAGCAAAGTTTCAGAACATAGTCCTGATCAAAACTGTATAGCATTGTGCTACAGGAGGCCAAAGATAAGTGGCAGACACCTCTTGGCTCAGTATGAACCTCTTGGGCCTTGCCCTCTTCTCAGGGACATAATTCCCACCCACTGGCTATGGGGCAGCTTCCTGCCACTGAATTTCACTCTTACCCTGAAATCTAAATGTAACAGCAGAAGGATGATAACCCAGAGACTGGGTTCATCAGAGTAGGGTTAGCTGTTGGAGAACTCAGAAGTATCTGCACCCCTTTCATTTGGAATATCTACTCCTAATACTAACACTTTTGGAAGATTTCCCAGAAATTAAACTGAAAATGATCTAGCAATATGTTGTTTGAGAGTCAGAACAATCTATTTGGAGAGCCTTTGGCTGACCCCCATTGTTCTATCTGCTCCTCCTTCTCTTCTTTCTTCATGGTGAACTTTAAGGAGCCTCTCTAAGTCAAATACCCACTCTGGTTTCTACTTGAAAGTGTTCAACTATTTTTTTAAAAATGTGTTTTTATTGACTTTAGAGAGAGAGAGGAAGGGAGAGGGAGAGAGAGGAAGGGAGAGGGTGAGAGAGGCAGAAACATTAATGAGAGAAACATCAACATCAATTGGCTACCTTATACACACCCCCTACCAGGGATCCAGCCTGAAACCCTGGCATATGTCCCTACTGGGAATCGAACTGGCAACCTCCTGGTGCATGGGTTGATGCTCAACCTCTGAGCCACACTGGCCGGGCATGTTCAACTATTTAGAGCACTTACCTCCTCCATTTTCCCAAGATTTCTACACAATTCAGAAAAAGCAATAGTCTGATTCATACCTACCTCCTTAAAATTTTCCCACCAGAGGCTTTCCCTGTGGTGAGGTTGGGAGTGGTCTCCTTTGGTGCATTTGTGCTTCTTGCCATGGGCATGAGGTTTGGGGGGATTGTAACTTACCCCTTCTCAAGGGAACTACAGCTTATTCCTCCCTCAGCTTGGCATAAGGCCAAGTCTAATTAATTAGCGTTGTGTATAGAATCTGCTAATTATGTTTGGAAACCTTTTCCTAATGGCTTCATTTTTCTTACTCTTTCACAATGAATGAGGCTTTGACCTTCCTTTAAAATCTAAGCTTTTTTTTTAAAATTCTTTATTGTTCAAAGTATATGTCTTCTTTTCCCCCATTGTAAAGCTAAGCTTTTTAGAGTTTCTATCAGAGGGGTGATCTTAAGCGGTAGGTGAGTTAATTCAGCCACCTGTACTCTACAGGCTAAGACGCTTTGCTGGATGGGTGTATGACGATAGCAATCTCACATGGTGTTTTGGTGCCTTTCTTAACTTTGGAGTACTATCCTATTTCTATTGGGAGATGTTGAAGAAAATTAGGAGGTTTATTCACTTTTTATATTAAATCTCATATACAGTTGAATGGCTCTATTTATTTAATTTTATGACACAAACACTTAACAAGTCTTAGATTTCAGTTTTAACCTGTAGCCTCGTGTTACCTGCATTTATGTTTTCCTAGTCTGTAGACTGCTGCTGAGGACTTCAGGGGTTTTGCATTTCATACTCCTCATTAATCCCCATGTGTGTTTTGTTTTTGTTTTTCACTTCAGCCATGTTTCCTGAGAGACTGGGAGCTGCAAGTGCACTTCAAAATCCATGGGCAAGGGAAGAAGAATCTACATGGGGATGGCTTGGCAATCTGGTACACAAAGGATCGGATGCAGCCAGGTATTGGGACCATGGGTTGCTCTTGTGTAGGGTGTGACTGACCTGCTTTTTCATGTGCCCTCTTTTTGAGAAGGGTATGTCCCTACATATCAGCAGTTTCCCCTCTACCATGATGTCTGTGGATGAAGACGGGCCTGTCTAGTCTCTAGAATGGGGTCTCAGTCCTCGAAGGAGCTGAACTTGACTCATCCTGGGCTGATTTCTTGCTTATGAGATCCTTCTTATTCCCCTGTGAGCCCACCTGGCCTGGTGACTAGGTGGAAGCACTGGCTCTCCTAAACACTGATGACTGGGTGAGCAGGTTCCTTCTGGGCCTTCACAGTGACCCTCTCAGCACTCCTGAGTTGGGAGAAGAGTGTCTATTTTCCCCGCTGTGTGGGAGCCACTGCCCAAAGCAAATGGCAAACTCCACCTCATTCAACTTGATCTCCTTGGCAATAAGAAGTCCAACTTGGGAATTCAGATCTCTCTTAGGGGCATGGTCATCACCAAGTGTTTGTGAGGCAGAATTCTTTAGGGGCGTCTTAGCAACTAGTCGGGATCAGGGAGCAGCTGTAGTGCTAAACAAGGTTGCAGTGGCCTTCTCTCTTTCCCCTGCCTTCATAACAGCTACAGCTGGTTACTGGGTGCTTGCTACAGGCCATGCACTTTCCTGGGTGCTTTTACATGTTTTCTTGTCTTAATTGAGGCCTGAGAGTCATTTGAATTTTACCTTTTCCTCCATCATAGTGAATATTATTCCTTTATCAACTCTTGGCTTTATTTCATTGTTCATCATCTGTTCTCTCTCTCTAGGGCCTGTGTTTGGAAACATGGACAAATTTGTGGGGCTGGGAGTATTTGTAGACACCTACCCCAATGAGGAGAAGCAGCAAGAGGTAATGGCAAGTGTCAGAGCTTAGGACAGCCACATGGACGTTCCCGTCCTCTGCCTCAGGAATGCTGTTCAGGAGGGAACAGAGGGGCTAGGAAGTGAGGGGTTCACTGCTACTTTCTTCATCTATTGAACTTCAGCAGTTAATGCATTTCTCAGGGTTTTTTCTAGAGAGAGCTGTTTATGGTGCACAGTCCTTTGGGAATGGCCATCTGAATGGGGGCTTTCTCTTTAGCGTTAAGTGTTCTGTCTTGTGCACATTAGGTGGTTGCTGGAAGTGAGCATGCTTGGCTGGTTGGTGATTTGGCTACTAGGCCAGCACCAGAGCACGCTGATGTCACTCACCTGGTGACTTAATATATCACTGCCATGTCCTCCTGCAGCTTGCTCACCCTTTCCAGTATCGTTTTATTCTTCCTCTTCTCAGACCTGAACAGCCATTCTCTTCTCTAGGAAAGACTATCAAAGGAAATTGATGGAATCTCAGGATTTTGTGGGAATCCAGGATCTGGCTTATGGCAGAAGCTTCTTGCTTTTTTGTTAGCAGACCCTAAGGTTTCTGTAGTATTTTCTTAGGCTACCAGCAGGTTGGTACTCTCTACCTGATGGCCCTACCATCAGGTGGTGGGAACGTAGTTATGACAGGTTGTTGCTAGGCATCCTGTAGCTAAATCATATTTAGCAGGAAAGGAAGGATTAGGAATGGAAGTAGAATTCACTATATTTTTACCCCAAAAGTTTATGAAAATTTTCAAATTTATAAAAAATTGGAAGAACAGATCATTGTATATTCAACAACCAGATTCAACAGTTTTTAACATTTCCCACAGAGTTCACCTTAGAGGATGTGGAAAGTGAGACCCGAGTTAGGAGAATAACTTTTTGTTGTGAGTCAGTTACCGAGTTGTTTGTGGGCCCCTCTTAACTCCACCATCATCAAACCCTGTGTAGGCGCCACACCCTGGGAATCAAGCAAGACCAACATGATCCTTGCATTCAGTAGCACTGATGTGTGAGAGTCCTGGGATGTAAAAGTGAAGCTATAGCAGCCGCATCTAACCTGGGGCAGGGGACTTTGTTGTTGTTTTTTTTTTTTTTTTAAATATATTTTATTGATTTTTTACAGAGAGGAAGGGAGAGAGATAGAGAGTTAGAAACATCGATGAGAGAGAAACATCGACCAGTTGCCTCCTGCACACCCCCCACTGGGGATGTGCCCACAACCAAGGTGCATGTCCTTGACCAGAATCGAACCTGGGACCCTTCGGAATGACATTTACATTAAAGTCTGCAAAATGAGGAACCAATGTTTCACGCTGAGGGAAAAGCGTGTGTTAAGGTGACCAAGTGAGAGAAGGGACAGTGAGTGTGAGGGCACAGAGGGGGACTAGAGGGAGATGAGGCGAGAAAGAGAGACGGGGCCAGCAGCCTGCCACGTTGCACAGTTCCAGAGCTACCATTCATATTGCATTCTTTTGTATGAACACTTGTCTCTTGGGCATGTTAACTGGACACCGAGATTGAGCACTGTCTCCTTGGTGGTTGGTGGTTTGGCTATTTAGACCAGCACCAGAGCACGGGTGTGTGTGACTCATCCTCACCGTGCACACTGTGGGGCCAGGTTCTGAAGGGTGGTGTTCCCATTAAGGAGTCTGGACTGTGTTCTAAGGCGGTAAGTGCATTAAAGGATTTTAATGAGGGGCATGTCGTGACTAGGTTTGCTGTTGTGCTGAGGAAATAGTGGTCGGTAGAAATGCATTCGAATAAGAGGTCTGGGCTGCAGGGCCTGACTAGAGTTTTAAACCTGCCTCTCTGTGAATTGTTCAAATTGTCTTAGCTTCCATTTCACCATCAGGTACTATTCTGATTTGAGAAGTTATATATGGATTTATTTTGTAAGGAGAGTAGCCGTTAATCAGAAAAATTAGTTGCAGATGGTAAAAAGCAGGACTTCTTTTCTGGCTAGCTATATGGTTCTCACTCCCAACTGCACATTGGAATTACCTAGAGAACATTTAAAATGCTGATGTCCAGGCCCAGCTTCAGAGAGTCTAATGCCATTAGTCTTAAGTGAAGTTAGCCAACCTTACTTTTCAAAGCTCCCAGGTGGGTTACATGTATAGTCAGGATTGAGAAGCCCTGGACCACCATCGAGCCCTTGTTTTCTTATTTATTTATTTATGAAACAAATTTTTAAATTAAAATAAAATTTAAAAAACTAATAAAAGCAGTTTTGTTTACTAAGTGGCTATTTTATGCTTGCCATTTTACAAATAGTCTTAATCTTCATCAAATCTCCTTGGAGTCAGTATTATTTTCCCCATTTTACCAATGAAAAGCTCAGAGAAGGTAAGTGTCTTGCTTAAGGTAACAGCCAGTATAAGGTGGAGTCAGAGTTTGAGCACAGGTCCACCTGATTCCCGAGGCTGTGATTTTAATTATGGTTGTTACTCCCACCGCTGTGGTGTTCTGCCAGGTGGATTTCCTTGAGAATGGAGAGACTCATTGTTCTCATGATCTGTGCAGTTGCAGTACGTAGATCTTCTACCCCGTGCAGAGAGTAGGAAGTGCACTCCTTCTGCCTCCCAACAACCTGGAACTACCTTGGAGGCTAGGATCAGATGTGTTTGCTAGCAGCATGGTTTACTATATGATATGGTAGGTAAAGGTGTCAGCCAGTGTTCCATGCATTTTCATACGTATTATTTACTTATCAAAACAGTTCTTTGGGGTGTATGTAATTTTTGTCCATTATGGGTAAGAAACTAAAGTCCAGAAAGGCCAAAAAAACCCAAACCAAAATAAAAACCACAAAACTTGTTAGTGACACACAGGTAATGGGTTTGTGTTTTTTTAAAAAATATATATATTTTTTATTTCAGAGAGGAAGGGAGAGGGAGAGAGAGATAGAAACAGCAATAATGAGAGAGAATTATTGATTGGCTGCCTCCTGCATGCCCCTTACTGGGGATCAAGCCTGTAACCTGGGCATGTGCCCTCACTGGGAATCGAACCTTGACCTCCTGGTTCATAAGTCAGTGCTCAACCACTGAGCCACGCCAACCAGGTCAGGTAGTGGGTTTGAAATCAGAGACCACAGTCTCATTATTTTGATTTATTATTTTGAGCACATAAGGATAGAGTGACAAATATGGTGCCTTTAAAAACTTGCTAATGTCATGTGTAAAGATGTGCTGGATGTGGAGGACAAGGAGACTACAGGAGTGGTTTTGAACAGTTCATCACATTCCTCAAGTTGCTGCAGTGAAAACGTTTCTCTAGTTTCTTGTTACCTTGTCACCAGAGTACACATGGCCTGTTGTTCCACTCACTTCCTACCACATTTGTCCACCAGGAAATATTGGGAAAATGCTAGCAACCATTAATGCACCTGAGAAGGGGTTTAGGCTTGGCTATCTGCGTCAGAACAGATTGCCCAAAATCACATAATTTCCCCACCTGTGATATAGGGATTGCAGTGTAGGTAAGTAGGTCAATAGCTTGTGTATTTGGGAGTGCAGGATACTTACTACCTGTGCCATATGAGGTTGCCAGGTCATAAATCGTTGAAATAACAGCTGAAGAAATAGAAAATCTGGATAGATAAGTAAAGAGACTGAATTAGTAATGAGCAGTAACTCAGTCCTAGCCGGTTTGGCTCAGTGGATAGAGCGTCGGCCTGCGGACTGAAGGGTCCTGGGTTCGATTCCAGTCAAGGGCACAGGTTGCAGGCTCGATCCCCAGTAGGGGGTGTTCAGGAGGCAGCCGATCAATTGTTCTCTCTCATCATTGATATTTCTATCTCCCTTTCCCTTCCTACCTGAAATCAATAAAAATATATTTTTTAAAAAAACACTTCACAAAGAAAAGCCCACGACTAGATGGTTTCACTGATAAAATTCTACCAAATATGTAAGTAGAATTAATATGGAATTCTTCTCAAACCCTTACAAAATATAAAAGGGACATTACCAACTCATGCTTTGAGTTGGTATTACCCTGATATTAACACTACGTAAGACATCACAAGAGTCCTGACTTGTTTGGCTCAGTGGATAGAGCGTCGACCTGTGGACTGAAGGGTCCTAGGTTCGATTCCAGTCAAGGGCATGTACCTTGGTTGCAGGCACATCCCCAGTGGGGGTGTGCAGGAGGCAGCTGATTGATGTTTCTTTCTCATCGATGTTTCTAACTCTCTATCCCTCTCTCTTCCTCTCTGTAAAAAATCAATAAAATATATATTTAAAAAAAAAAGACATCACAAGAAAACTGCAGACCAATATCTTTTATGAATACAGATGTAAACATTATCAATACTAGCACACCAAAATATAAGATGGATTATGCATCATGACTGAATGTATCCTAGGAATTAATGTTTGGTTTAATATCTGAAAATTAATATGATAGACCATATTAATAGAATAAAGGACAAAAAAACATTTGATCATAGCAACAGATGTAGAAAAAAGTATTTGACATGATATAATACCTCTTTGTGATATAAAAGCGCTCAACAAATCAGGACTAGAATGGACTTCCTCAACCTGATAGAGGGCATCTGTGAAGAACCCTCAGATAATGTACTTAATTGTAAAAGACTGAAATCTTTCCCCTAAGGTCAGGAACAAGACAAGGATTCTGCGTTTGCCACTTGTATTTAACACAAGTCTGGAAGTTCTAGTCAGGACAGTTAGGTAAGAAAATAAAAACATCAAGGTTGGAAAGGTAGAAGAAAAACTATTTCTATTAGCAGATGACATTATCTTATATATAGAAAATTCTAAAAAATTCACACAGAACTAATGAATTCAGCAAGGTTGTAGGATACAAGATCAACATACAAAAATCAGTTGTATTTCTATATATTAGCATTGAACAATCAGAACATGAAAGTAAGAAATTCCATTTACACTATCATCAAAAAGCAATAAAATACTTAGACATAATTTAACTAGAAACAAAACGCTTAGAAATAAATTTAAGAAAACTTATACTCTGAAA